TTGCAGCTTCCTTCCAAGTTTTCCTGACCACCTGCCAGTATTGGACTTCGGGAAGGAGATATCTTTAGAAAATGGTTTGAACATTCTTCATCATGGTGGACCGCGTCCCTTGGTGCAAAACTACCCGATTTGAGGGACAGGGACAAGAAACGTGATGGGCCAAGAAGTTGCTGTGCTCCCTCGACGGTTTGACCCTTTGTCACAGGGAGAGTTTACAACCACTGCAGACTCTCAGGACGTACCATATACCAAAAGGTTAAATGAAGTGGTTTAAACCAAACAGAACTCTTCATCTTAACTACATGTTGAAAATCAACCTAATAATCTATATTGAATTCTGAACCTTTGCAGGAGCTACTATGAGGAGAGCAAGGCACCAGCAGCAAAATGGAGAGGTGGAAAAGGGCTCATGCTTTCACTTCCAGACTTTTGCTGCAGATTTATAATTTCTAAGTAGGATCTCCCCCCACACACACACTTTGGAGTCAAGTCATATGTGTAAGTTGTTTTTGACCATTTGTGTTCTCAAGCACTGAAACTCATTACCACCTCTGGTCACCATTTCTACCCAAGGCCAGTCTGACCTTATTAGAGGTTGGTTTATCCTAAAAGTGTTAACCTCAGGTTCCAAATTCAGTAATTTCTGAGAAAATAATGGAACATTGCTCAGCAATTCCTGTAATCGTTAAGTTAATTCTGGATTTCTGCCAAATTCCTAATTTTTAGATATACATCTGGGTTCACTTGCCCCGAGATGCCTCCTCTGTCCCATCCTTCCCCTCCATTCCCATGCAAGCAGTCTCTCCTACAGCAAATAAGGCAGCTCTGTCATGGTAGCAGATGATCCTGGTATTCTAGGATTTTACTCTTTGTATGATGGCCAAGAATGTGTTACGAATCAGTGCTATCAGCCTTGCTGTCATACTTCTTCCAATAGCAGATAAGATGTGTGCCCAAAGGCAGTTGAATTAAAGAAGAGTAAAAATGGCTGGTGAAGCACTTTCTCTCCTGGTTTTTCTTCTTTCCTATAACCCACAGCTTCTGACAGTAGGTCAGAATTTGAACTATAGCCAAAAGCAGGTGGTTTGTAAGATCCGAATTAGTAGTGTCAGTACAAAGCAAGATTTGGAGACAGCCATCACTTTGGTGAGCTGTAGGAGAACCTGGGGTTGGGAGAAGAACCAGCTGCCAAGAGGGAAGAAAGAAGGGAGGGCCCCGATGGCCAAGGGGACAGAATGAGCTAATGATGTGAGGGAGGAGATCCAGGTTATTCCTCAGGAACTTCACAATGGTGTGCTTTGTGGTTCCTGTCTGCCTAAACATTTCTGTCAATGTACCTTGTGCTGAATCGGGCAACAGAGTGGAGTTCAGTCTCTGCCCAGTTTGGTGCACAGAGCCATCAGCCTGGGGGCACATGACAACCTCTAAATGAAGCCTTGCTGGGGCACAACCCTCCTTTTACCCACAGAGAACACTCACCATGGTGACCAGATGGTAAGCATTTGTGAGAATCTTAGTTTCCTTCTATGGCTGAAGAATGGTTGACTTTTCCTCTGTTGCATGCTCTTTTCCTCCCAGCCTATCATGTGATCCAGTTGGGGGTTCTCTTTTGGAGTTTAGAGTATTTTGTTTCTGTCACCGAATATTTCTCATAAGAAACTAACCAAGAGTAGTGTTCATTGTAACTACTTGAGTAGAAGTGAAAACTGGCATATAATGGGCAGTTAAGAACAACAGGAAAATAAGAGCTATGCCAAGGAAGGTGGGGACTTAAAGC